GGGAAAGCCCTCCTGAAAATGTATGCAAGCTGGTTTTTTTCTAGATCAGTAAGAGCAGCTCTGTGATGACCCCAGTTTTCAACAGTCAGAATGATGTATTTACTTATATTTAACTGCAAACAAGAGGATATTTAGGTCACATGCTTTGAGAAAAAAAAGCAAAAGTAAACAAGCAAAAATTCTGATAAGATTATACAGAAGAAAAAGGTAAAAAGATCTAATGAGATCAAAATTTAGAAATATTTTTCATTGTTCTAACCTTATGAAACTCATAAATAATCTATATTAAGCTGAGGATAAAACATCACCATCTCCTGTCACTCAGCCTATGTGGTATGAAATACATGAGACAAAAACTGAAATGATTGGAGTCACTTTTTGAGGTTGGCTGGACAGGAAAACTGAACACTAAAGAGAACACCAAGTCACCAAATTTTGGAACTTAATGAGGTTAAACATTTACAGCCCAAATGATATTTTAATCAAAAATGACCAATATAAAAGAATCTAAGTCATTCTAAGTGTGCACAGAGTGTGTCTCTTTATGACCTAAAACCAAATTAACAAAGAAAATAAATAATTTAAAGTGCAGTGTGGTGATAAGAGAATTCACCTGTGTAAGTCTGAAATGTATGAATAGTTTACCACGGGGGATATTCAAAGCTGTGCACTGTACAGAGCAATTCTGCTGCTACACACTCTTGAGCAGCTACAAGAAAGATTCTTAATGAAAAAGACTTGTAATTTTCTGCAGATAACAGAACTGAGATGTGGAAATATTCTGCAATGTGAGAAAAAAAACGAGTGAATTGTGAGGACAGATGGTATTGCAGCATCACTTGAAATGGCACAGCAGAATAAAACCACCACCAAATCCAACTACTCACCTTTGTGGGTCACTGAACACTAACATTTTCCAAATGAGCCCCAATTACAAAAGCACCTGTGCCCCTTAATTTTATGCTAATACAATGAAAAATGCAACCTATTTAACATCATGTGTCTTCCTAATTTCTCATTTATTACCTCTAGTGATTTAGCCTATTGTTCACCTGCTCTATTTTTGTAGAGGACATAATTGCAAAGTGAATTTAAAGCACACTTGGCTTATCATTCTGCCAAAAAAACCAAACAGGTCTTCCTTTGCTGAAAATAGCCAAAATTGTTCTTGATATAGCAAACCACCAAAATATTCTAACATAAATACCAGATTAAAATTTGTACACATGTAAGAATTTGTAAAATGCACCCACGGAAAGGAAAATTTTATCTCACCAGTAGAAAGTAACACAAGATTTTAGTCCTATCATCAGCAACACTGCATTCCATAACAGCAGCCAGTGAAATTGGTGAAATATTTGCTTTGTGTGATCATCTGTTGGGGTTTTGTTTGTAACCAGCTAGGTGTTCCCACAGCTGTCTGCAGCTTCTGTCTCACTTTAATCACTTGGCTGACATGCAAAGAGGAAAAAAATATTTCGAAAAACATCTCCTGTTTCTTGAGTGTATACCAATATATGAAAGTTTGTGCCTTAAAACACAACAATTAAATTACACTTCCTATAATCCAGTTAGGAACTTTAACAAGTCCTATTAGATCTCTCCTACTCCACCTGTAGGAGTAACCTGGATGCTCCTTTGCTAGGCTTCTGCTAATCTGACTTTTGGAAGAGAGAAAAATTCTTTATTGCTACACAATTTGCTTTCTTTGAAGTCAACTGTGCTAACAATACAAATATTTGCTGAAGGCTAGTGCTGCTGCTAACGATGTAGTAAGGTGTGAGCTGCATACACATTGTGCATTTGGAGGAGAGCTGAGTGCTCTGGGAAAGCTGTTGATAACACATTTGGGGTTTGGTCCTAGGCACTACCAGAGCAATTTCAGTGGAATCTGAGAAGGCTCAGTGCCTTAGAAAAAAAAAAAAGGATTCCTATAAGACAAACCTATTTACTATTTATGCCTCTATTTATTTACTCCCCAAATGCAACACTTTTCTATGACCTTTCTGTTCTGAGATTTCCCCAAGATTAATTTCCCAGCCTGTCCAGGCTTTAAAAAAAATGTTTGTGTAATATTACAGGATTTGAGCCCTGAGTTCAGCTCTCATGGC